GCACGTATGTGTAGATTAATTCACCAAATTTTCAGCCTTGTAGCTTTTGTGGATCTCGAGATGAAATCTCGTTACAAACGCACACACAGACACACACATACATAGACAACCCCTCGACAATATGCGTTTTTGCATTGCATAGATGCAAAAACCCCACAATAAAAACAAGAATAAGCGGCCTATGTCTGATATGGCTATGTCTGATTTATACATTTAACTTTCATATTTACTGATTATTGCTACAATCGTCGTACTGCTGCAGGTCCCAATCTTTAACATGTTCAGTTTACTGCACTATTACCAAGTGTTCACTCGTGAAAATGGCATTAGTTAAGATGCTTAAGTAAGCATCATCTAATTTGAAATAAATTACTTATCTGTTTTAAAATAAATACCTAAATCCATATTGATATTTTATCTATAATCGTATCCGCATCTACATTTTATGTTCATATTTTAATCCTCAACAATTTCCCGTCAAGCGAAAACTCTGCTGTGCATACAGCTCAAATACGAAAAACAGAAACATTTTACATTCACACGTTATGAGTTCTGCTGGACAAATGTGGACTTTTCTGTTTTATCCGCACTTTCCTTCTTCACTTTTCCGAATACCTCCCACACTCTTTTGAATTTTCACAAAACATTTCTAAATTTATTTTAGCTTTCCGATTTTTGCCATTAAAAGAGATCGTGTGAACAAATTCTATACCACAGTTACGTTCTATTCCTGCACCGAATTTCCTGCTACTGCTTACTTTCGTACCTTACATACAAAGCGCTAATGACCTCAGGCACGTGAGCATCTAAAGCTGTTCATGCATGGGCCTAACAGACCGAATAATGCAGCACCACTTACGGAAGAACTTGCCGAACCACGGGCAGAAGCTGAGTAATCACATCCAAACAATCATCACTCCCTTGAATACTGTTCGAAGCATACGCAGACACCACTTTGGGGCCATTCTCGTCGCAACAGATCTTAGGCTCATATGTCCTGAAAAAAAGCGGCTAAAAATTCGAAGACCAAAGAGCGTGGGAAGCGAAATGGGAGAAAAAGTACCAAGATCAGTAGTAAAAAATGCCAAAAAATCTATGATCGAATTGATTTGAAAAAAAAAAAATTAAAAACAGAGCTGGAAAAAGATCAGAAACGAGATGGTCTGGATGATGACAATGTTAATAAACCGTTCTGGTGATCGTTCAAAAGAAACGCAGATTTGCGGAGTCAATGATATGGAGCAGACAGGAACCCCTGTCGTGATGAGAATTAGGGACCGTTAAAAACGTGAGCTGAGAGGCTTATTCGAGATGGCAAATTACGGCCAATACGTACTGGATGAGTTCGTTAGAAGATGCTAGCGTCAAGTCGAGGTCAATCGTTCGTCCCTTTGACTTCTTCCGCTTCTTCTTGCTCGCCATCGTGACGCTGCGACTGGGTGATGCACCATATTTCTCACTCAAATCGTCCGCCGACGACAGCGACATATTCTGGAATCAAAAATGCCCAGTGCTGAGTGGCCAAAACCAACCAACCGATCAGTATTAAAAAATCGAGTTTCTTCATTATACAATACGCCACATTATTTCAATCCCAAATTTCATTTATTCAAATTCATTCAATTTTTATTGAAATCTACATTTTTATTACATTTCTGCAAAAATGGCAAGATGAGTTGATCGCTAGAAGGCAGTACATGCATTCTACAGAGAAATTTGTGCAAAAACGGCGTCTACAGACAAATTTGTGCAAAAGTCTGTTTAAACGTCCAAACGACACTGACAGGCATTCCTGTACAAGAATCTAGATCGAATGAAGTGGTTTAAAGGCATATTTTACTGCAATTTACGAATAGAGCACCAAATTGCAATTAAACTGCTAAGCAGAAATGTCCTAGTTCTTGAAGTTTTTACACATTCATATTCAGCATCGCAATTGCACCTCATCAGCACGACGATTGTAATGCTGATAAGAGGGTTGGAGTTTAGCAGCGATGCAATGTGCTTAAGAAGATAACGCGCAACTGTGTCTCAGCAGAACCACGAGATACTGTATTTTAATGATGACTGGGGACTTAGGCTACTTGCTGACTAACTCCAGTACATGCTTTGCAAATCCCTTTCCACTTACCCCCTGTTGATCAAAATCAAAATAAGTAGAAATGCTGTTATTACTCCAACTATCGACATTTTCACAGCAGAATTCTATAACTGAAAGGCAGTTGCACGGACACAAAGGCGATGATAAACACGCAGATATTTCAAGTTAATTTGTATAACTTATATTTTTATTTTACAATTTTAATTAACAATAAACATATTTCTCAAAATAATTTTATACGTCACACATACCATGATTAATGCCTCTATTTCGAAATGATACGATTAAGTTTTAAAACGCAAACAAAAATCAACATCATGCAGCTACCGAGACCATCCGGACAAATGGTGTGGGATAGAATATTAGTGATGTTACTGGGATGCTGGACGCATCTAATGCCAGATTCCATTTTCAACTGAATATTTCTA